AAAGTAGTACTGGAATTAATACGCTTTAAGACAACATGCAAAAAGAAGTTACAGGATTCTTCCTTTTCTTATCTGGACCTTCAACAAAGAGTCTTTTTTCTATCTCTCCCAGCATTTCTGGAAAACCAAAAATACAATTTTTCAATAAGCAGTTGAGCTCGTAGCACCACCAGAGGCCCCCTGTTGACAAATGTGTCTGATTAAACAAATATGGACATACACCTGTACCTGTGAGGAATTCTTTGGTAAGGGCACCAGTATCAATGCCTGCCTCGGCAAAGAATGTGACCTTAAGTCTACATTTTGTTGAGGTCTTCTTCCGCCGTTGCCACTGTTGCATACCTCTGTTGTAGAGATCAGTTTGCGGCACACAGATGGAAAACGTGTTTGTCTCATCCACTTGACAAGCGATCCACTTCAAGATGTCCTCAGCACTGGAAAATGAAAAAATACAGACATTGAACATTACAAAGGGATAACAACAGGCCTTTTTTTTAACATTGAACATTTACAACTAAATTTATGGGTGGTTTTATGATTTTATAGATGTTTGCTACTGTTTTTCAGCGTCGTCGTTAGGCCTAGTACAATTTCCGCACTGGTGACGTTCTCAGGAGTGAGGTGAGCCCTCAGTGAAAGTCCAAACGGGCAAAAACATCACAAACATACCATCTTTTTGGATTACTAGATTTCTCTATGCTCACAATTGCTCAACAGGAAAAACTAACTCCTCCTGCAGTATCTCTTTAAAGGTTTAGTGTTCGGATAACATCATTCACCACCATAATTCTTTAATACACAATTTTACCTTTGAAAGGTACTGATTGGATCACTTGACTCATTGTCATTGTCATCTGAAGTTCTGCACACAAAGAAAAAAAACAGTCCTAAATTAACAATATACAATTACATATAAAATGAAAAAATTTGGCAAGCAATCTCCTTACATGTCATTTATTATCAAATCAACATGGTATACATAAGTAGTTACATAAGTATACATATACATTAGTATACATAAGTAGCACTGAAACCAACATTACCGTAATCTGCAACTGGCTGCATGGATCTCAAGATGAAATGCATTTTCGCACATAGGACACTCAGCTGTCTAAAAAATTAACTACTTCTGAAATATAAGAAAACATATCTAAGCTAAAGAACCTTCAACACACTTGTAGGGCCTAATTTATAGCTAACAAATGGCATTTGTAAATGATGTCTATGAAGATGGACTTGTGCAGCAACCAGCCACCATAGATATTTTCCAGCCTTGGATATGTATTCAAAAGCAAATCTGTTAACTAAAATAACAGAAGCATGATTAAGTCTGTAATAAAATGATTTATATTTCTGAACTACCATATATTTTGTCTACTATACTAATATTAATTACATCAAGCATTAATATTCGTGCGTGCATTGATATTGATATATACAGCGTGCTAGCCTTGAAAATCCAGCTGTATTATAACATTAACTTAGCTCTCCTTATTAGCTAGGCTCCTTACATGCTTGCTAATAACTTTTTTAAAGCCGGGTCTCGGACATTGACAGCGTTGTGTTGGACATATTTGTGCAGCTGTGTTCCATGAGGGAGAGAGAGAGAGGTACGGGTGAGTGAGAGAGAGAGAGGGACGAGCGAGAGGAAGTGCTGCGCGAATGCGCTACGGCGCTCTGCAATCAAATATGATTTTAAATAGGCTTTGTAAAAAAAAAAAATCAGGTCAGCGTTGATATTGTGGTGGGCCGCCACAAATAAATGAACGTATGGGAAACACTGGTGATGTTTTCATTAATAATTAATGAACGTTTTCCAAGGCCAGCCAGTATAAGCTGTAGTTCCTCTTCTCCTTTTGGTGTTTTTTCACGTTGTTTTTCAAGAAGAAAAAAGTCCACCAAAAAACTCATCCCGGGTTGTGTTGGTGTATATAGTGCAAAACGCTTTTTGCCTCTGGCCTCCTTTTGAAAAAATCCAGGAAAAAACATGTAAGATGGTAAACTATTATTCTCATCTTTTATCATCCATCAACACAGAACAACCTAACATATTCAAAGCAAAAAATATTAAAAAATCTTCAAAGCAAATTAATTTAATGTTTAAAATCTGTACCGATTTTCCACCCTTTTGCTGACATTAGAATCGGGACCTAATTTGTCTAAAAGTACCTACACTGGGAGCGCAATTACAAAATGAATGCAGACAACAACCCATGTATCCTACCGAGCCATTTCTTGTTTCACAGACTGTCCAGAGTCATTGATGCCTAACTGTCGCCACTGACTGCTCTCCCTGTCCAACAGCAGCTTCTCCTGTACTGCCCTGACTGACTGGCCTGACATTTGACGGTACACTGTTTCTCAGCAGCAACACCAGGTTTTGGGCTGTGCTTAATGTGTCTATTAATTGGACCTGAGTAAAAAGAAAGACAATAACTAAATGCCAAATGTTATTGCCATAAGTATTTTTAGTATTGTAAAGAATACCTGCAAAACACATTAATCATAGTAAGGTTTGTCAACGTCACGGGCCTCTGTCCGCATTCAGACCAAAAAGTAAGCACGTCCGGACCCAAGCTGGAAAGTCTTTTGTTCTTTAGACAGCTCAGTGCTGAAGAAAAAGTTGGCTAAGTTATTAGCATTACTGATCTAGTGGACATTGCTAAACATATGATTACAGTGCAGTTTACATCTTTCACACAGAGCACTTAACGCTAAAGTCATCTAGCACTAGAGTTAACAGCGAGTAAATATTGTTAGCTTGCAAGCTAAAACAATTACTTCGTCTGGCTCAGTTGTTATTACTGCTCTAGTCGACATTGCTAAACATGTGATAGCAGTGAAGTTTATTTCAGGTAACGTTATTGCAGATCTTGCAGTTCAGTGTCAATCGGCGAAACAGTTCTAACATCACTAAGTTAACTAACGTTAACTTTATAACGTTACTTTCACACAGAGCACTTCATCAACTCTAACGTTGTCTAGCACTAGAGTTAACAGCGAGTAAGTATCGTTAGGTTGAAACCTAAAACAATAACGTCTATGAGTTGCAGAAATGTAAATCATTATAAAGTGCTATCAAAATAGTACAATCTTATAAAAAATGTTGAATAAACACATTATTTACTTTAACTAACTAACTAAGCCTAGGCTAGCAGCCCCAGGTCTTTTGTTAGCCATCTTTCGCCTTTGATGCATGCGCGTCACATGGAATCGAGGTTCAATTCAACCTGTCCTGTGACGTCATGTCAGCTGTTCTTGACTCATACCCACAAACTTGAATTTATGTTCATAGTGAAGAATTCGTAGTAGTAGAAATCAGAGTTGTACTCTATGTTAATGTGAACAGTCATAGAGTCACACTCACATAAAAACATCTCACATTGTGGATCAGATGTCCCACCTGGTGCCAGAGAGCTGCAGAGACAATGAGTCCTCATTGTGCTGATGGGGTGGACTGACATGGAAAGGCCTTCTTTCCTTCTGTTTACTTTGACTTTTAAATATTGTCCATATTTGTTTCAGATCCATTTAAAAAATATATGGTTTATGGTTCACTTGTAATAAATTCTATATATTAGCACTCCCTGTCTTTACTACTTACTGAAAAGCGAATCGTATACCACAGATAAAACATGAAACATTAAAGCTGAACTCTAAAGAACATCAGTCCAGTATAAATTAAAAAGTGAAAATACTCCCAAAATGTTTCACATAAAATGTTTAAAAGTAATTATGCAGTGTATTTCTGTGTGTGCAGGAGTATTTTTACTTTCTACCTTGTACTTTAAGATAAATAAGGAGCCATACACCCAGTACCCATATACTGTATATCAGAGCCTGTTGGGTTTAGGGCATTGCTCCAAGAAGCTTTTTGGTACGTCTGGACATGATACATGTGCCACAGAAATTTCATATATGTAGGTTAAACGTGTGGCGGGGGCTGCTTTGTTAAAGTTCCTGTTGCCAGCAGGTGCCGCTATGACTGTGGGTGAATGTCGGTATGTACATGTGTTCAGGGCGGGACTCTCATCCTACATGTACAGTTTGGTGCAGATGTGAGCATGTACACTGAAGTTATAATAACTTCCTGTTTCATGGCGAATCATCGACGCCACGGACACGCCCATTGACAAAAACTCACAGATAGCACAACTTTTCATCTTCAATGCCTTTAGAAGGCACAGCAGAAATTTGAAGTCGATCTGACTAAATCCCTAGGAGGAGTTTGTTAAAGTACGGAGTGTGTAAATCATCCAAAAATGGCCATAAAATTCAAAATGGCCGACTTCCTGTTGGGTTTAGGCTATGGCTCCAAGAGATGGCTCCTTTTTTGTGCGTCTGGACATGTTACATGTCCCCAGGAAATTTCGTGCATGTAGGTTGAACGTGGACGAGGGGCTAATTTTTTCCAATTTTCTAGGTGGTGCTAGCGAGTCATTTTGCCACGCCCATGTGCGAAACCCATAAAATATGAAATTTTTCACCAGTTCTGACGTGTGCAAAGTTTGGTGAGTTTTACCACACATTCTCCCTTCACCTTTACTTTTTATAAATGCCAACGGTTGCTAAGAAATTGATGAATGCAACATTTATAATGACCCCTGGTCACTGAATGCATTTGTGTGAAAGCAATAAAAAGTGATGCACAGTTTAGTCCCCACTGACTTCTGCTGTACTGACTGTGTGTTTTGAGTTAGCATGAGCAAAGGTGAGAGCAGCTTTGACCAGAATGTCCAATAATTCCACTGAAGATGGGAAATAAATCCACTGGCCTTGTTTCCCTGATGTTCATTAGCTCTATTCTGGCAAGAGAGCTCCAGTAAACACAGCAGAAAACTTACTTTATGCACAAAACAAGACAAAGCAGCATGCGCCAAACACAGAATCAGCCAGTGACTGAACCCTGACCTAGCCTTTGCTGAGTTTAATAAAAAACAATGAATGAGATCCACAATTTGTAGTATCTCATTTGTGTGTGTGTATGTCTTGTTTTCCAGCATGGAGATCTGCCACCCAAAGAACAACATCACCATGTGCCCTCTATGTGACAGAGTGTGCAGCTACTGGAAACTTAGCACTGCCTGCGGAACAGCCAGGGCCAGTCACCTGTTCGACAATCCTGCCACCGTTTTCTTCTCTATATTCATGGCTCTTTGGGGTGAGTGAACACATCAGCTCACTCCAAAATACATTCATACAATCACTTTCCACTTATGAGGTCTACCTAGCTAAACTTTATGGTCATTTTGAGGGCTGTAGCTTGTGGTGCCATTGAGTTGACCCATGATTAAATCATGCCCCCTCTTACTTATCTGTCAAGTTTTCCATTCTAGCACTGCAAGTTTACTTGACAACTGTGACAGATTTACACATTTTGACATTTAGGTCATTTTTTTAAATTGGTACTTCATTTCAGAAAGAAGTAGACAGAAGTAGACAAACACAGACGTCTGACTTGTGGTCAGTGCTTTGATTTTCCCAGCTGAAATATTGTCAGATTTTTTCCATACAGTGAATGTTCCAATCTTGAAGTTGTCTAATGGAACCTGTGAATCCTCAAAATATTGTTAACTAATCATATGCTTGAGGTTTCTACCTCTTAAAAGGAAGTTTTTCCTTGCCTTTGTCGCCTAGTGCTGCTCTTGGTGGGAACTGTTGGACTCCTGTAAATAATATCCCAGAGTATGGTCTAGACCTGCTCTTTTATAAAAAGCGCTGTGAGATAACTGTTGTTGTGATTTGGCACTATATAAATAAAATTGAATTGAATTGAATTCCCATACCCCACCAAGGCTCTATGCAAAATTTGGCGCCAATCAGCCACTAGGTGGTGTTAAAAATGCCCATTTTTGCCTGTAATTTTTATTTTGCTAAATCTGCGAAAACTTTTTCAAACTCCTCCTGGGCAGTGAGTCTAATGTGCATGAAATTGTGAACACCGACTTTATGGACCCCAGTGATTAAAGAGTTTTGATAATCCAAAAAATGTGTAAAGAATAAACAACTTCCTGTGGGTTACGGTCTAACAGGAAGTGATGTCATCAATGCATAGGCCAGTGTAAGGCCTATGCAAAATTAGGCACCAGTCGTCCACTAGGTGGCGCTTTTGTTGCAAAATCAGGAAATGTGCTAAATACTTTTTCCAAGCTATTCTTTTTGAATGAAATGTTTTCCAATCTCTGTGCTACTGCTGTCCTCCAGTGACTTGTGTCAAGCCAGTGGGACTGCAGGTCCATACCTGCATACACACATTCTGTATATACATATAAAAAATGCCATAATAAATCTAAATATCTAATTAAATATGGATCCTTTTATACATAAGCGGAGATAGCGTGGATGCATTGGGTTGGCTGACCCAGGGCCATGGCTAGGCAGGGGTGCTCCGTGGGTCACGAATGTGTTGTCAGTTACTTGTAGACACGACTGCACTAGAGAATTTCTTACAGATATCAACCCCTGTAAAAAGAGCGGTGCAGCCATTCTTATCAAATGAAACAGGCACTTCACTCCTGGTTTCAAGGGTAAATCACCACAGGAATGACAGTTACCAGGAAAAAACACTATATTCTAAGCAGACACATTTAAAGGTTCAGTTTATAATATTTCTGAGGATTTATTAACAGAAATGCAATATAATATCCATAACTATGTTTTCAGTGGTGTATAAAGACCTTACATAATGAACTGTTGTGTTTTTATTATCTTAGAATGAGCCATTTCTATCTACATAACCATGGGCACCCTTTCTGTGGAGGTCGCTGTATTTTGTTGTCATGTTTCTACAATAGCCAAACAGCCTACAGAGCGTGTTTCGTCATCACAGCGTTCTTCTTCTACTTGCATAATTCCGGCAGTGTAGACGTCGTCACTGCAGAAGAAGAAGAAGAGTAAATAATAATAATAATAAACAGTCTCTGAGTAGTCCTCTGGCTTATTAGAAGTAAGAAGAGAAGTGACATTTGGACAAATGAACGAGCACACGTGTTATTTAGCACAGAGACGACAGCGTGTGGATGTTAATAAGATGAAGCCAGACGGAGTCGGACAGATACAGACAGATGACCAGTGTTGGGCAGTAACGCGTTACTGTAATAATATTACTTTTCCCATTAACTCAGTAGTGTAACTAATTTGCCTACTTTTCTAAAACGGTAATATTACTAGTTACTAAGGCAAGTAACGCTCATTACTGAACGCACCATCCTTGACGTAAATCCACGACTGTGCGGCAGCTCAGCGGCACCGGACTTGGTTGTTCATGTCCGCTGATAGCCGAACACAAAAGGAAGAATGGAGAACGAGGGAGAGAGGTGTTCTTTCCACAGCTGTAAGTAGCTGCTGCCAATATTGTGTCACAGTCTAAGATGCAAAGGACATTGTCGTCTATTGTAAACTCATCTGCAGAAGCACCACAACGTGAAACTTACAGAAAGAAACCAAGTCCAGTTCCCCTTGACTTTAACGTTCATTGGATAACTATGACCTGGACGACTGAGAATCTTCACAGACATTTACAGAAAGAAACTCTGGCAACTTATGGCACTGATGCTTGGACTCATCGGGCGTTAATGTAACATTTTGTAAAGTCTCGGGTTACATATGTAACCCTGGTTCCCCGAGAAGGGGAAGACACTGCATCGGTTACGACACTATGGGAACGCCTCTAGGCGTAGCAGGTCTGAACGTGAATAAAATTCTCTAATCCTATTGGTTTGTTGCTAGAACGTTAAGGTGTGACGGAATAACCGGAGGAGTATAAAGCACACCTGTACACACTCATCATTAGCTTTATCTATGAAGCAGGCGCTTCAGGCAGGGAGAGAGGTGCGGCGGGCCGCAGCTGCTCGAACTGCATCGGTTACGACACCATTGGAACAAGATACCCACTAAACCGTGCCGAAAACCCCGCCTGCCCCAGTGTGCAATAAAGTGGCACGACTTAGAGGAGAGCGCACGAGTGCCAGGTGCCGAAGGAAGGTCAAGACTGTAAAACCGAATGAATGTGTGCGGAGTGGCCCAGGCAGCCGCTACACAAACATCCTGCAAAGAGGCCCTGGAAAGGAGGCTCAAGAGGCTGCCATGCCTCTGGTAGAATGAGCCCTCATAGCCACAGGTGAAGGCAAACCGCGCACCTAATAGGCCAGGGAAATAGTCTGAACAATCCAGTTGCTAATAGTATGTTTGGATGCAGGGAGCCCGGCCCTGGGGGACCCAAAACACACTAGCAGCTGGTCAGCCTTCCTCCAACGGGAGGACCTCAGATTGTAAATACTCAGTGCTCTGCCAGGGCAGAGCAGATGAAGTCTCCCGTCCTCTGCCGTCACATGAGGTGGAGGATGAAATGCCTGCAGCACTGTGGACCCTGCCGCACAAGAAGGCACTTTAGGGATGTATCCTGGACGAGGGTGCAGGATAGCCCTAATATTCCCCGGGGCAAACTCCAGGGACCTGCCACCAGGGCCGTCCAGGAGCGACATGATGTCCGAGAACCACACCGGGTTGGCCAGAACGGGGCTACGAGCAGTAGGCCGACATTGTCCTGGCGGACCCGCTCCAGAACCCCCGGGAGCAGAGCGACTGGGGAAAAGCGTACAGTCGTAGCCTCGGCCACGAATGTACCATGGCGTCCAGACCCAATGGGGCTGGAGGAACGAGAGAAAACCATAGCGGGCAGTGCGTAGTCTCTTGAGAAGCAAACAGATCCATGTCTATTGGGCCGAACTCTCCGCACAAGAGCTCCACCACATCGGGGTGAAGTCTCCATTCCCCGGGCCTCAGCCCTGCCTCGACAGCAGGTCTGCTCCCTGATTCTGCGTCCCCGGGAGATACATCGCCCTGAGCGATAGTAACCTCTGCTGGGACCACAGGAGGACGTGCCAGCCTGTACAGAGGGCGCGAGCGCAGACCGCCCTGGTGATTCAGATAGGCCACCACCGCTGTGTTGTCGGAACAAACCAGGACTTGGTGGCCTTGGAGATCGGGCAGGAAACTCATTAGAGCCTGGAACACCGCCAACATCTTGAGACAGTTGATATGCCACTCGGACTGATGCACCTGCCAGGATCCCCTAGCAAAGCGGCCACCCATGACCGCGCCCCAGCCCGTGAGGGAGGCGTCTGTCGAAATGACCAGCCGGCGACAAGACCCTCCCAGCATGGGCCCCTGGGACAGGAACCAAGTTTCCTTCCAAACTGATAGGGAACGAAGACACTTGCGCGTAACCCAAATCAGACAGAAAGGATTCCCCTCGGGGAAAAAACCTTGGTCCTTAGCCACCACTGCAGGGATCTCATGTGCAGCAGTCCAGATGGTATTACGCTGGACACAGCCACCAGGAGACAACACTTGTTGAAAGTGTTTTACAGTGATGGTGTGGCCTAACTTCACGCCTTTCACAGCAGCCAATATGGTATTGACACGTGCCGGAGACAATTGTGCCTGTATCGTTGTCGAATCCCATACTACCCCTAGGAACTAGTCCGTTGGTGGGCGCCAGCACACTCTTCTTTGCGTTGAGCCTCAGCCCTAAACGCAGCAGCAGAGCCAGAATGACATCTCAATGCCGAACCGCCATCTCTCGAGACTGGGCTAGGATGAGCCAGTCATCGATGTAGTTGAAAATCCGGATGCCCTGGAGCCTCAGCGGGGCCAGTGCTTCATCCATACACTTGGTGAATGTGCGAGGGGAAAGTGCCAGGCCGAATGGAAGAACCCGATACTGGTAAGCCACACCCCCGAAGGCGAACCTCAGGAACTTCCTGTGAGAAGGACAGACGTGGAAATAGGCGTCCTTTAGATCTATCGTGACGAACCAATCCTCGGATTGGATGTGCGTCACAATGGCGGGGATGGTGAGCATCTTGAACCTGAATCTCCTCAGAGACCGGTTTAGAACCCGCAGATCCAAAATAGGGTGCAGGAGGGGAGAAAAGACTCCCCTACCCTGGTCTTCAGGACCTCTTCCCTGAGCTCCGTCGGGACTGGATGACGGTCCTCAGATCGCATCTCTCAGAAGGCCGAGGTTGAGAGCGCCGCCTCACTGCCCCAGCTCCTCGGGGGGGGCCCCGAGAAGCGACACTCTGCTTCCTCTCCTCTCGGTAGGAGCTCGTAGAGGGAAGGGACCTATGCCCGCAGCCTCAGCTGCCTTGGGTCCAGACCGGCAAGGGAGGTACTGACAGAACGCTTCGCCCTGCTTCTCAACGTGCTGGAAC